CAACCCAAGTCATCATTGTATCGCGTTTGATCGTTATGCTTTTCTCGGACGTATTTGCTTGTACAACGAATATGTACAACGAATATGTACATCGACGTACGACGATAATGAAGATCACAGGCAAATGAAAGTTATAAAACGATTTATTTAGTCAACAATTTTAAGATAAATCATTTTACTTTAAAAATTTATATTTTCTTCCAATCCCATAATAATAAAAATTTAAATAAACTTGTGATAAGTACTTTACACGCCACTGTCGATAATGCAGGAAATATTTCCCTTGCAGTTTACAGGGGAAGAAACAGTAACATACGATGGAAGTATAAAGTTTATACCAATAACACATTAAGAAACTACATTTCCATTTCGTCGAATTCCTGGTTGTAAATTACACAAAGTAATATTAAAAATGCATAGAATAAACTTACTAATGCTGCTAGTAATTACATTAAGGCAATATAACAGATCTGGNAAAGTAATATTAAAAATGCATAGAATAAACTTACTAATGCTGCTAGTAATTACATTAAGGCAATATAACAGATCTGGAACCTGATTGGCCAGAGACCAGATTCCGAACGATACTCGCCACTTTTTGAAATTCTTTTGTAACTTTTTGCATCGGCCTGACCTTTCCCTATTTTGTTGGATTTTGTATTTTGTTCTATTTCGTACGTTGCTTCATTTTGTAATTTACTATGTTTTTGTATTCTGCTTGATTTGATATTTTGCTTCATTTAGCACGTGCAAAATTGTTCAAAAACATTCAAATAAGTTGCACAAGTTGAAATATCATCACGACGGTGAGCCTTACGATTCTCTGAATCAATACTGATTAGTCTATGCATTGAAAAAAATTATTCGGTGTCACCCTATCGCTTATTACAATATTGTGAAATGTTACAATTGTCTCTAACTCCAACACTCATCCCGATTAGTCACAACAAATTACTCATCAAACCAAACTGACCCTTAAACATCCCAGCCCTTGTCGCGTCACTTTTCCGTCATCCACCCTCCCCCCCATGTCGCAGCCAAAATTCCCACTATATATACACCCACATCCCAAGAATCCTCAGACCTTTTTTCTTACTCCAACACTGGACGATCCCTAGTACGAGACGCATTTGTACCGTCGATAGTGAAATAGATTTCGAAGATTGTGCATAAAACGCGTTGAATTGATTCCACCGACCCGGAATCCAACACAATGAATAACACAATGACTTCACCATTCTATACGATGTTTTCAAACTCAGTAGATCAAAAGGTACATCCGGTCTACTTGGTAAACGTTGCCATTGCGTGTGTATTGATTCATATATGATCTCGATTAAAAAGCGTATAACAGTGAATATCATTTCTAGCAGCTCTTGCGTTCTGGCCTTTNTTGAAACAGGACTGTCAATTAAACATCAGGGAATATCATTTAAGGCGACAAATTTGTATTTTTTGGGAGAATGAAATAAACATCAGTAAATGCAACAACTTTGCCTACACCCTTCTCCACCGCACACCACGTGCATCTTGGCAGTAAATTACATGTAACATCTATCGTCTTTGATTTTATTGTCAGCACGAATATCTATCCAAACTATACCGTGTTTGGTCTCATTTTAATCAGAAAACTATCAGCAATATGTTAAAAAAAGATCAGTATTAAAATGTTAAAATTAAAAAAAGTTATGTCATTACATTGTTAGTTGTCTTCCAGTAATTTGAATCAAAGAAGTCACGGCGCGTGCCGCAGCATAAATGTTCACCGACACCATCGAACTTTAGCATAGCGATACAATCGATCAATTAGGGCGCCGCAAGAAAATCAATAACTTACAGGGCCGTGGCAACNAAATTACGAAGACCTTAAAATCACGAAAAAAATGACTTTGAGAAAACACACGCACACAATTCAACCCATCATCGTATTGGCTGCTTTGAACGGAATATTTGTCTCCTCATGACATCTTTTCTATCATACAAAATAAGGAGGTCAAGTTAGATGAAAAACTATCTGGAAAGGCAGCGGTCAGCGTCGGAGACAGCCAATGTACAACATTGTAGTAATAGAATAAAAACGATGGCTTCGNGACAATTTCTTCTCACTTTTATTAAGTATCGAGCATATCGATATTTGCAAAAATGTATAAAGTTGAATGCTAATTCGGTGAAACTCCTCTACGAGAACATAATCATTCTGATTCTTGGAAAATATACGGCCGAGAAAGATTACAGCATCTTCGGGTGATGGTCTCCCTTTCAATTTGAAGCTTGAACCCACTACTTTAAGACTATGTTAGTGTTAAAAACGTCTCGCACTGTTGCTGGCGAGGGGGGGGGCGTCTGAGTTCATTTGAAGTAACTTTTTCCTTTGCAAAAATGCAAACCGCGACTTTGTTTACAAGTTATTCAAGAAAAACGGTGACTACTGAGAAACGAGCACGGCTGGTACGAGGCGGCCGAACCAATGAGCAGAACTTGACTTTGTACGCTCTTTGGATGGGCCGCCTCGCGTCAACAGAGATCGCCTCTTATTGGGCAGTGTTTTTCGTTAATAATTCGTCAACAAAGCCGCGGTTTGTATTTGCGCAAAGGAAAAAGTTACTTCCAAAGACCTCATTAATCCCCATTTCCGGATTGTGAGACATTGTTGAGATTTATGAGTAAAACAAAATCAAAGAGAAGAATATTCGAAATGGTCGAAGCACGGATTTGTTAGAGATTCTATCTTAGGAATGCTTTGACAAAACTGGAGAAGAAGTCGGACGTGCATGACGAAGAGAGGGTGCCCATTTACAACAAAGTATCGTCAACCCAGAACCGAATTGATTGGAAAATGAAGCTGTATACAACGCGTGGCGGACATAACCTGGTCCCTGTACTCGTTTGGGAACATTAGAGGCCTTCGTGTATACTTGATGAAGGATCCATTCACTGAAGAGTCCTTACGAGCGGGCCGCAGTAAATTCTTCAAGTAATACTTGTAGTTCCAGTGTCATAATGCAAATTATGTCGTAATGACGCTATACGTGCTGTTGGGACTATGGATTGTCTATTCTTTAGTTTCCTTGGTTTGGTCGTTCTGTCCGTTGTCGCATTAGCGTTTTCGCTAGTTTTGTAAGCACCAGAGAATTGAATTAAACTTGAAATAATTTTCTGTGTGAATCTATAAGAAAAGCTGTTTCATTTTGTTGAACCGAACAATGTTTATTGTGAAATCTTCGTTTTACATCTGACACTTGATTGAACAACATAATTTTGTAAATAGTGTCCACGAAATTTTGTATGACAGTAAAGATATTTGTTGTAAAACGTGTAACGTTAAAGACACTTAACTCTCAGTCCTACTTTAGCATATAGTATCTTCGTAATTTATTAGAAATTTTAGTTA